AGTATTTTTATTCTCATTCTCTATCTTATTTTCATTCTTGTTTTTATTTTTATTCTCACTCAATCTTATTCTGAATTTCATTTTTAATCTCAATTTTTTTTTGACTCATATTATTCTCAATCTCATTCTCAATTTATTTTCTTCTCAATTTTTTTTTCTTTCTTAATCTCATTTTTATTCTTATTTTTTTACCCACTCTAATTCTTATTCATAAACTTATTCTGAGTTTTATTCTCAATCTCATTTTCACTCAGTTTTATTTTTAATCTCATTTTTACTCAGTTTTCTTCTCACTTTTATTCTCAATCTCATTCTCACTTAGTTTTATTCTTAATTTCATTTATTCTTAATCTCATGTTCAATCTTCTTCTCAATTTCATTTTCCGTCTTATTTTTATTTACATTTTCACTCATTATCCTTCTCATTTTCGCTTTTACTTTTAATTTTATTTTCAATTTTATTCTCAGTTTTATTTTTGATCTCATTCTCACTCAGTTTTATTCTTAATCTCATTTTTATTCTCATTTATACACAATCTCATTTTCAGTCAGTTTCATTCTTAATCACATTTTTATTCTATTTTTATTCAATATCATTCTCATTATTGCTTTTATTGACAATTTCATTTTCAATTTTATTTTCTATCACATTATTTTTTTTATTCTTAATCTCAATCTCACTTGGTTTCATTCTCAATCTGTGTCTTATCCTCATTTTTATTTACTATAACTCTCATTCTCAATCTAATTTTAAGTTTTATTTCAATCTCATTCTTATTCAGTTTTATTCTTAATCTTATTTTTATTCTTATTTTTACTTAATTTCATTTTCAATCTCCTCAACTTCATTTTCATTCTTATTTTTATTTACACATTCTCCCAATATCTTTCTTATTTTTGCTTTTATTTATAATCTCATTCTCAATCTTATTTTCACTCAGTTTTATTCTTTATCTAATTCTCAATCTTTTTGCCAATTCTCATTTTTACTCACTCTAACTCTCATTTTCAATCTTATTCTTAGTTTTATTTTTAATCTTATTCTCACTCAATTTTATTCTTAATCTCATTTTTACTCAACCTCATTTTTATTCTCATTTTTATTTACATTTTCATTCAATATTCTTCTCATTTTTGCTTTTATTTTTAATCTTTTTCTGAATTTTATTCTCAATTTCATTATCACTTAGTTTTATTTTTTTTCTAATTCACAATATTTTTGCTCATTCTCATTTTTACTCAATCTCATTTTTATTCTTATTTTTATTTACATTTTCACTCAATATTCTTTTCAATTCTGCTTTTGTTTATAATCTCATTCTCAATTTTATTTTCACTCAGTTGTATTCTTATCTAATTCTCAATCTTTTTGCTCATTCTCATTTTTACTCACTCTAACTCTCATTTTCAATCTTATTCTTAGTTTTATTTTCATACTTATTCTCACTCAGTTTTATTCTTAATCTTATTTTTACTCAATCTCAGTTTTATTCTTATTTTTATTTACATTTTCTCTCAATATTCTTCTCATTTTTGCTTTTAATTTTAATCTCATTCTCAATTTTATTCTCAATTTCATTATCACTCAGTTTTATTTCTTATCTAATTTACAATATTTTTGCTCACTCTCATTTTTACTCAATCTCAGTTTCATTCTTACTTTTATTTACATTTTCACTCAATATTCTTCTCATTTTTGCTTTTATTTTTAATTACATTCTCAATTTTATTCTCAATTGAACTTTTACTCAGTTTTATTTCTAATCTAATTCACAATCTTTTTGCTCTTTCTCATTTTTACTCAATCTCATTTTCATTCTTATTTTTAGTTACATTTTCACTCAATATTCTTCTCATTTCTGCTTTTATTTATAATCTCATTCTCAGTTTTATTCTCAATGTCATTCTAAATCAGTTTTATTTTTGGTCCTGATCTCATTTTATTTTAATTTTTTCTTCATTTCGTTTTCACTAAATATTATTCTCATTTTTTCTTATATTTTCAGTCTCATTCTCAATTTTATTCTCAATCTTTTTCTCACTCAGTTTCATTTTCAATCTCATTTTCATTATCATTTTTACTCAATCTCATTCTCAGTCTCATTTTTAATCTTCTTCTCAATCTCATTTTCATTATTATTTTGTTCTCATTTTCACTCTCAATTTCATTCAGATTTTGACTCATTCTCAAAATCATTTTCCCTCAATTTTTCTTGCAGGCCCTCGCGACAAGCCCCTCATCCACATCATCCTCCCCCTCTCAGGTCGCACCGCCACCTTCCAAAGCTTCATGGACAAATTCGTAAAAATCGGCTTGAAGAACGACCGTCGTGTCCACCTCACAGTCGTCTACTTCGGCGAGGAGGGCCTCTCCGAAGCCCGAGCAATCATGTCCCGCGTCCTCATGACGAAAAACAGCGGCGGCAACGCAAACAACTTGCGCCTCCTCGCCCTCAACGAGACCTTCTCGCGCGGAAAGGGGCTGCGTGTGGGGGCGGAGCGCCTCTGGGGCGACCGGAAGGACGTCCTCTTGTTCATGTGCGACGTGGACGTGGTGTTCAGTGCGAGGTTTTTGGACAGGTGTCGGTGGAACACCAAGGCCGGGAGGAAGGTCTACTATCCGGTGGTGTTCAGTCTGTATAACCCCCATGTGGTGTACACGTTGCAAGGGAGGGAGGTGCCCCCCGAAAATGACCAGTTGGTCATCTCGAGGGATACGGGGTTTTGGAGGGATTTCGGATACGGGATGACGTGTCAGTATAGGTGAGGACTAAGAGATTTCAAGTGGACTCAGGTCTGGCCGAACCGGTGGCAAAATATCATAAAATTACGGTTTTCTACGTTTTTTCGATAATATAGACCAAGAGAGTTCAAGTGGACTCAAACCCGGCCATCTTGGTGGCAAAATCAAATAAAACCTCGTTTTTTCTCATTTTTTTAAATAATAAAATTAAGAATAATGAAAATAATGACCGGAACATTTCAAATGGACACAAATCTGGTCGCTTTGGTGGCAAAATTAAATAAACCAAACTTTTTTTATTTCTATTAATAGTAATAGTAATATTAATAAAAAAGTTTGCCCCAAAACATTTCAAGTGGACACAAATCTGGCCGTTTTGGTGGCAAAATCAAATAAACAGAGTTTTTTGTAATTTTTTTAAATAATAATAATAGTAATATGAATGAAAAACTATGCATTAAACACTGGACCAAAACATTTCAAGTGGACACAAATCTGGCCGTTTTGGTGGCAAAATCAAATAAACAGAGTTTTTTGTAATTTTTTTAAATAATAATAATAGTAATATGAATGAAAAACTATGCATTAAACACTGGACCAAAACATTTCAAGTGGACACAAATCTGGCCGTTTTGGTGGCAAAATCAAATAAACAGAGTTTTTTGTAATTTTTTTAAATAATAATAATAGTAATATGAATGAAAAACTATGCATTAAACACTGGACCAAAACATTTCAAGTGGACACAAATCTGGCCGTTTTGGTGGCAAAATCAAATAAACAGAGTTTTTTGTAATTTTTTTAAATAATAATAATAGTAATATGAATGAAAAACTATGCATTAAACACTGGACCAAAACATTTCAAGTGGACACAAATCTGGCCGTTTTGGTGGCAAAATCAAATAAACAGAGTTTTTTGTAATTTTTTTAAATAATAATAATAGTAATATGAATGAAAAACTATGCATTAAACACTGGACCAAAACATTTCAAGTGGACACAAATCTGGCCGTTTTGGTGGCAAAATCAAATAAACAGAGTTTTTTGTAATTTTTTTAAATAATAATAATAGTAATATGAATGAAAAACTATGCATTAAACACTGGACCAAAACATTTCAAGTGGACACAAATCTGGCCGTTTTGGTGGCAAAATCAAATAAACAGAGTTTTTTGTAATTTTTTTAAATAATAATAATAGTAATATGAATGAAAAACTATGCATTAAACACTGGACCAAAACATTTCAAGTGGACACAAATCCGGTTTTTTTGATAGCAAAAGTCAGAAATGTAGCGAGTTGTCACGATTTTCTCCATTTTTTCAATAATTGTAGTAATAATATAGACCAAAAGAGTTCACTTGAAACCAAACCCGGCCATCTTGGTGGCAAAATCTAATTAAACCGTTTTTTCTTATTTTTTTAAACAATAATAGAAATAATAATGAAAAAAATACGCATCAAACGTCAGACCAGAACGTTTCAAGTGGATACAAATCTGCTCGTTTAGGTGGCAAAATCAAATAAACCAAACTTTTTCTTATTTCTTTTAATACTAATAGTAATATTAATCGAAAACTATACATTAAACACTGCACCAAAACTTTCAAGTGGACACAAATCCGGTTTTTTTGATGGCAAAAGTCATAAATGTTGCGCATTGTCAATGTGGAAGGTCACGATTTTCTCTGTTTTTTCAATAATACTAGTAATAATATAGACCAACAGAGTTCAAGTGGACTTAAACCCGGTCATCTTGGTGGCAAAATAAAATAAAACCAAATTTTTTCTTATTTTTTTAAATAATAATACTAATAATAATACAAAAATACGCAATTAACGTCAGACCAGAACATTTCAAGTGGACACAAATCTGGTCGTTTTGGTGGCAAAATTGAATAAACCAAGCTTTTTCTTATTTTTTTTAATAATAATAGTAATAATAATAAACAAATATGCAAAACCAAAACATTTTAAGTGAACACAAATCCGGTTTTTTTGGTGGCCAAAGTCAAAAAAGCTGCTGATGGTTTTATTTTTTTTTGTTTTTATTATTTTAATAGTAATAGTAATAATAATAAAAAAATACGTATTAACCATCAGACCAGAACATTTTAAGTAGACACAAATCTGGCCCTTTTTGGTGTCAAAATTAAATAAAATTGAGCAGTTTCTTATTTCTTTTAATAATAATAGTAATAATAAAAAAAAATATTCATTAAATACTGACCAAAACGTTTCAAGTGGACACAAATCCGATTTTTTTTAGTGGCAAATGTTGGTTTTATTTTTTTTTCCCTATAATTAAAACGTTGCGAGTTGTCAATGTGAAAGTTCACGGCCGCCTCTGATTTGTTTGATAAATTACTCGCGTGCCAACTTTGAATTTTTAACTTGGAAGTTTTAAAAGCTCGCAAAGCTTGCATAATTTACAGCTTTTCGTATCTAAAACTTCTTAGAGAATCGAAATTACATATTGAGAATGCTACTTTTTAATTACTTTTTTTCGTGTCGTTTATTTAATTATTTTTGGTATCTGGAATGAGGGAAAAAAGGGAGGAAAAAGAGTAAAGAGTCTGTGTTGGCTTTGATAAAGTGAAACGTGTCGCAAATGTAGTTTCAAAGGACTTACACGAATTCCTTTCTGTTTATTATTAGCTTTGGAGTCTGATACAAATGTAAACAAAAGTAAAAAAACATTTATATAAAATAAAATTGTTAAACAAAGTGGAATAAAAAAGAAATTTTTGCAATTAGAACTAATTATTTGAGTTCATAATTATTTAAAGTAACTTATAATTTTGGTTTTGTTGTTTTTTCTTTAATTTTTTTGTTCAATTTCAGTTT